TTGTGAGTCCATGGCCTCACCCTCTTCCTCTGGGGTCCACCTTCCAGACCCTCTGAACAAAGGGGTAACCCACCTGGTTGTGGGGGCTAGGGGTTAAGGCACTCCAATGTGCCTTTCACTGGGGTGGTAACTGGCCTGACATTTCCTGGGGGCTCCCACGCCACTGGGAGCCCCACCAGGCCACCCACTTCCAGCAGGGTGCAGTTTTAGGTCATGCCCAGGACCAGGAGCCTCCTTACCATCCCCTACAGCTCCTCCCTTACCTCCAGATGACACCAGCAGCTCTGTGGCCAGGCGATGTTGTTGCCTGGCCTCCAGCATCAGAATTGCCCTGTTTATATGGGCAGCCCTGAATCTAAAATGGCTGTCCTAATCAGGCACCTGCCGGCTGCTGCCTTCTGGCCCTTAAAGTGGCAGGCACAAACAGGGCCCTGCCACACTAATCATAACATACTTACAACATTATTTGAAATACTATAGTGTGATCACCTGTAATTGCTGGAAATAAGTGCTGAAGGCTAGGGATAGACATTACACACAAACCGGTTTAAGTGATCAGAAACCAGTTTAAACCTGTAACAGAACAGATGTTCAGTGCACATGAATCAGTTTGAAAATGGTTGAAACCGGTTTGAGATAAACCTGGTTGAATGTAGTATCAGACTTGACCTTTTGATTTGGGTAAAACCAGTTTATGCAATGTCTGTCCAAGACCCTTAGCTAGTTTAAGCTAAACTAGACATCCCCAGCATCCCAGCATGCTCTCTGGGCTGGGTGGGGCTCTCTGTTTCACAGCAGGGCTGGCCCCTCACCTCTGCTCCCTGGCTGGAGTTCCGGCAGAGACTAGCAAGCACAAAATATCTGCCTGGCTTCCCCCTGATAAACAGGGATTATTCCCCCTCCCCTCTGCCTTGCTGTGAGGTGTTTGTGTATTAGCTAGCAGACCACTTGCTGGCTATGGTCCATGCTGTGGGAGATGACAGGCAGACAAGCTTTTTGGAGCTAATCAGCAGGTAGCTTAATGTCCTTCCTTGGAAGAGCTGTTTAAGAAGAGCTCCATTAGTTAATGGAGAGAGGCTTTGTTTTCTTAATGGGTTGATAAACACTGAGTTAGGGGTGATACACATTCCCTGCAGGGCTGCTTAGGAGGGGAGGAATAATCAGAGTCCTGCCAGGGCCTGGCCACACCGCCCTCAGCTCAGCCTGTGCAAGGAAAGGGAGGGCTGCTCTAGCACCCCCCGGCTTCTAGTCTGAGCCACTGCAGGCATGTGCCTGCATTTCTGAGATGTCTGTCCAGTTACAAAACTGATTTAGCTTAGCCAGGTTAGACTAACCTGCAAAGATTGAATCAATTCAGGATCAGGCTTTTTGAGTGTCTGTCCCTAGCCAAAAAGACTAATGTGCAAATTAAACTCTAAAGACCACTGGGCTTTATTCACAGTGCATGTTGTTTTAAAGAGGACTGGTTGGTTGTAAAATATTTCTTGGTTAAACTTGCATGTTTTGGTTTCTGTGAGAAATATAAAATATTTACATATATACTGTATATGTAAATGGAGGCCAGTCACACAAATATAGCTAACTAAAAAGCCTGATTTAAAAGGTAGCTCAATTACAAAAGCACCATAAAGTTTAGATTTTTATTGGTGATTATGAATTTAAAGTAAAGTGAAACTATTATAGAGAATGCAGTGAAATAATCTCTGCTCATGGAATCTGCCCTAGTTTTTTCTCAGTGTTAGTATAGCCTTCCTCATTCTGTGTATTCTATTTTTTCCTTTCCTTTTTAATAACCCCAGTCTAGATGTTAATGTCAAGGTGTTATCCATTTCATTTAGATAGCAGGCTCTTTTGAGAAGGGCTCCTCTCTGCTTGCTGGCCTGTAAAGCATCAAGAACATTGATGTCACTCATTGTATATATCAATACTAAAAATAATCCCAAACTATTACCTCATATGATAATATCCAGGGCAAAAAACTGAGACAGACCCTTAAAAGTGTCAATGGTCTATGGAGGTATAGGGAAATTTAAAAAAATAGGCACTGGTTTTGCCAACCCCTGGAGAGAGCACAAGAGGGGGAAAAAAATCTTGCTCCCAGCTTAGTGAGGTATTAAATTTGCTGAAGGTGAAAATGTTATTTCAGAGAATGAAGTAGATGAAACAGGTAAATCCCAAAGAATAGAGAGAGCATGAGCAGTGAGTTGAGGGGATCAAAAGGGCAAAACAATTTAGAGGGTTGAGAGAGTTCTGTGACCTTGTTTAGTTTGTTACTATCGGGTTACTGCCTTTCATCATATGGAGAAGGGAGACTTCATGGCCTAAATAATTGTGGTAATGGTGTCCTCTATATTCAGTGTAAATGTGTAATTCTTGATGCATTAGGAGAGAGAGCCTCTTCTTTTCCTGGCGTAAGACCCCTGCATAACTCCTTCCATCCTCCTGCAGTTCTCTGCTGGCAGGACTACTCAGGCATATCCAGATGAGGATGGACATGTAGTATGTGGTGCCATAGACCTGTTTGTGGTGCCACACACAGAACATGCAAGTGTTCCCTGCACTGCTACTTTTCAGTGCGGGGGCGGGGGAGGTTTGAACCTGGCAGATCCCAGGGTCAAAAAAACACAGGGTGGTGCATGTGGTTGCAGCATGCACCGCCTAAAACTGGGGTTTAGCCAGCCAGAACCAAATTCCAGCTGCCAGCCAGGCTTCCTGCTGCGGGAGTACTGCAGCTGCAGCTCCCAGAGGCTGCCCACAACCTCAGATAAGGCTGCTGGGGACAGTACAATTGCACTTGGAAAAGGGTGTATGTTTGGAAAGACTGCCATTGTATGGACTGATCATCTTTGTCTAAGGCGAAGCAAAGTGTAGTTCTTTAGCATGCAGGATTGATCCAGCCCTTAGCAGTTTTTTTTGTCTTGCACTTACATTACAGGGCTGTGTGAAACTTCAGTCCCTGATTCGATTCAGCCCGATTCAGTGGCTGAATCTTTGAATCTGAATCAAATCAGAGGACCCTTTAATCTCTCCAAATCAAATCGGAACCCTCCAAATTGATTCAGAGAAATTCTGAAAGATTCAGAGATCTGGACATACAGACAGCTTTAAATGTTTTTTCTACATACCTCTAGATAGCAGGCAGCTTGTGAGTGCTGCAATGCTGGGGTGCATGAAGTGTCCCACAGAAGTGCAGGGGGGCTCCCCAGAGCGCTCGGCAGCTGTCCCAGAAGTGGACCAGAAGCACTTCCAGTCCACTTCCGGGTCCACTAGGGAGCATGCTGGTGCTCCCTAGTGACTGGGAGTGACTAGGGAGTGACTGGTGCCTCCTGGGTCTGGGGAGGGCACCTGGGGTCCCCCTGCAACCAATCGCTAAGCTGGGGAGGCACAGGGGGGCCCCAGCGCACTCCCTGGCAGACCCGGAAGTGGAGCGGAACGGAAGTGGACTGGAAGTACCTCCAGTCCACTTCTGGGTTCACCACCAACCATGTGGAGGGCCCTCCTACACTCCTGGGGGAAGCTTCATGCACCCAGCATCACAGCGATCACGAGCCATGCTGGTACCTCAAGGTATGTAAAAAAAAATTTAAAGCTGTGTCTGTGTCTCAATTGCTGATTCATTGAATCAGCATCAAATATTCAGATTTGGATTTGGTCAAATTGAATCGGGGACAGCGATCCGAATCAACGAATCAAATCACTGTTCCTGATTCAGGCCGAATCCGAATCGAATAGGGCCTGCTACGTGCATCCCTATTATGTTAATATACAATGAGGATATGATTAATATTTACCATCTAGATTAAGTCCACAGACAGCACCTGACTCTTCTCTGCCTTGTGCCATGAATGGTTATTTTCTCCTGTTCAGATTTAGTTTAAAATGTTCGTGAAACACATTTTACAACCATGTTGTGAAGTAGCAATGGACTATGAATGACACTAGACAACAGACCATCAGGGCCATATTACAAAAGTAGTAGTAATAATCAAGTCATTATTAAACAGAGCTGAGGGGATCCTTGTCTGCAGCCCTTAATGATTATTAGTTATGATTATGAGGGGATCCCTCTCAGAGTACCTAAATGATTGATTGACGGATTATTTGTGATGCCATCCACAATGCACTGTAACTCTTCTGTGAAAATGAGCAGGTCCCTAACCTGAGTTCAGAGAAGGCAAGAAACTGGTAGGATGAGGTTACAGAATGGGAACACAAAGGGGTATGTACCTCCAATCTGCACATCACAATTGCTTTTTTACTTCCTAGCCAGGAAAAACAATAAATAAATTAGCATAAACAGGCATTTCAGAATGGTCAACACATATCCTTTCAGCTCAGTTCTGTGCTTCTCTTTATTTTATTTTACTTTGATCTGGGCAGCATCCCAAATATTCTGTGGAGGAGAGTTATACTAGAAAATTAGGCAACAGTTGGCCAGCTTTATGTCCGAAACGCTGTTGTTATTGTTAGGCACTCCCAGGCAGTTGCTATTGTGCCCTCAGCCACCAGATGTCAGCACTGAACAGAAAACTGAAAATGTAATGCTGTGAAGAACAGACCCATTCTGAAATGGAAAGTGAACAGGGTGCAACTGGGAAAACATTAAACAAATTTGCAAGGTCTGAACCCTGTGCCAAGCTTCCTTTTGAGCTGGGAGTGCTCAAGCTGTCTCTGGTTCAGTTGTAATTTCATGTTTGTTTCCAATGCCTGGAAGACCTGGACCAAAGATGATAATCCCCATCACTGGACCTACTTTCGTACGAATGTGGTTAGGGCCTCAGATGGTGACTGGTCTCTGCACATGTGCCTAAGGGGTTGGAAGGATACAAGTAGCTTTCCCTTCTACCCTTTCCAGGGCCATATTGCACTGCAGTCTTTGAACCCAGGTGAGCACAAGAATTACAAGAAGACTGAGATTGTCTTAATCGCATCGCTTTGTTGTGCACATACCACTTTCATACATAAGACTTAAAGCATTTCTTGCTACCTTCATCTTTCAGATGGGCACAAGGAGAGGAAGTGATTGGGTATCAGGTCACCTGACAGGCCCGTGGCATAGTCAGGAACAACACCCAGATCTTCACCCAGTGCTGTGTCCTTTTGATGACGGCTCTCCAGGTAGGAAAAGGAGAAGGGATATGGTCCTAGAAAATGCCATGATCTTTAAAGAGACTTTGTACTCTAGGAAAGTCCAGAAGGCATGAATCCATGACACCAAATCCACCTTAAAGAAGAATAGTGCAACTACTACCAGCTTGTATAAGGATCTATGAGCAATTTCACTGAAACTGCCAGAACTGCTACTATGCCCTGATGCTACTAAGGACATATGTGTAGGGAGAAAAATATTGTTGTTTTGTGCTGGTGTACAACCTAATTCCTCTTCTTTCATGACTCTGCAATGTAGTCATGGTAAAGCGCTTAGGATGTTAGTCTGTTGCCAGGGAAATAATTGTTGTACCAGTAATTCAGCACTTTATCGTCGCTGTGGGATGGAACAGGAGAAAATGGGTTGTTAAAAAGCAAGGCTATACACAAACCTTTGGTCTAAGCCAGACCTGACCCTCACTGAATTCTAAGGAAGGATTAGTTTTAAATGCCTGGCTCCCAACTTACCTTTGTTATCTGATTCAGGGAGGAATTAAAAACTAGAAGGGAATGATTTCCTGATCCAGTTTGGATAAGGCCAGAAATTAAAGGAGAGGCAGAGTGGGCTGAAATGTACTTTTGTGTGTGTGTGTATATATATCTTTTTTGGCAAAGTCAGTGGAATTAATTGAGATTTTCACTGGTGTGTAACTGAGAGAACCTGGGCCCAGTGCCTAGGAAGTAAGTGTAATTTGGTACTGTTTATCCAAGAGAAAGCAGAGTTGCGCTGGGATGGCTGTAGTCAACCTACACAGCTAGTTGTAGCTCCTTCCTGAAACAGTTTAACTGGAATCTTGGCTGATGTGATACATCAGGACTGTGGAGCAGATGTTTTGTACCCCAGTCTATTGCTCACTGGAGGGAGGGACTGTCAACTAGCCAGGTTATATATGTTGGCTTGCCTAATACCTGCCTCCCAGTTGTCAACTACTTTTAAAGGCACTGGGATCTGTAGTACAGACATGGGAGAGGGGATGATCTAGTGAAGAGAGTACTAACATGGGGTTGGGAGATGTTGGTTTTCTTCCTAGCTCTGCCACAGGCTTCCTGTATGACTTTGGCCAAGTCGTGTA